TATATCCATATAATTTCTGTACAGCAAAGAAATGACCTTCATGTTTTTTTTTTAATTTGTTTTTAACGTTTATTTATTTTTGAGACAGAGAGAGACAGAGCATGAACAGGGGAGGGGCAGAGAGAGAGGGAGACACAGAATCTGAAACAGGCTCCAGGCTCCGAGCTGTCAGCACAGAGCCCGACGCAGGGCTCGAACTCACGGACCGTGAAATCATGACCTGAGCCAAAGTCGGACGCTTAACCGACCAAGCCACCCAGGCACCCCGACCTTCATGTATTTAATATAGACCTTTGGGGGCACCCAGGTGGCTCAGTTAGCTGATCCAGCTTTGGATCAGGTCATAATCTCACGGTTGGGTGAGTTCAAGAATGTTTGTGTGTGTGTGTGTGTGTGTGTGTGTATACATGCACACCTGTGTTTGTTTTTTTTGTTGTTGTTTCTTTCAGGAGTAGAATTTAATGATTTATAACTTACATGTAACAAGTATTCATCACAGCAAGTACCCTCCTTAATGCCCATCACCCATTTAGCCCATCCCCCCACCCTCTTAGCAACCCTGTTTATGCCCCTATGTTCACCTGTTTTGTTTCTTAAATTCCATGTATGAGTGACATCATAGGATATTTGTCTTTCTCTGACTGATTTATTTCACTTTTAACATAGTAAACTCTAGTTCCATCAGAATGAGTATAATTTTTAATGCTGCATATATTTAGTATTGATTCCGGGGTGCCTGGGTGGTTCGGTCGCTTGAGCGGCCGACTTTGGCTCAGGTCATGATCTCACAGCTCATGAGTTTGAGCCCTGCATTGGGCTCCGTGCTGACAGCTCGGAGCTTGGAGCCTGCCCCAGATTTTGTGTCTCCCTCTCTCTCTGTCCCTCCCCCACTCGCATTCTGTCTCTGTCTCTCTCAAAAAAGTATGAACTAGGGCTTATATATGAAATTGTTGAACTAGAAAAACAGGATTCAACTTTTAACATAAAATGAAGTGTTCTTTTAAATTGCTGGTATATGTTCAGCTGTTAGAGTACCGAAGTGTCAGAGTACTTACAGATTGTGGGGACCTCTATGCCATGTTAGACATTTTTTTGCTCCTGTAGGACCATGATATAAATTGCCTCTGACAGAAGGAAACATTTTTCTTTCTTTCTTCCTTTTTTTTATTTATTTTGAGAGAGAAAGAGAGCGGCGAAGGGGGAGACAGGGAAGACAGAATCCCAAGCAGGCTCTGTGCTGCCAGCACAGAGCCTGTTGTGGGGCTTGAACTCACAAACCGTGAGACCATGCATGACCTGAGCCAAAATCAAGAATGTCAGGCACTTGGGGCGCCTGGGTGGCGCAGTCGGTTGAGCGTCCGACTTCAGCCAGGTCACGATCTCGCGGTCCGTGAGTTCGAGCCCCGCGTCGGGCTCTGGGCTGATGGCTCAGAGCCTGGAGCCTGTTTCCGATTCTGTGTCTCCCTCTCTCTCTGCCCCTCCCCCATTCATGCTCTGTCTCTCTCTGTCCCAAAAATAAATAAACGTTGAAAAAAAAAAAAAAAAAAGAATGTCAGGCACTTAACTAACTGAGCCACCCAGGTGCCCCAAGAACCATTTTCAAGTAAATTTTCCATTTAGAGTCCTATGCTCATGATTGAACCTTATAATTCTTAAAAAAAAAATTTTTTTTTAACATTTATTTATTTTTTGAGAGAGAGTGAACCGGGAAGGGGCAGAGAAAGGGAGTCACAGAATCCAAAGCAGGCTCCGGGCTCTGAGCTGTCAGCACCGAGCCAGATGCAGGGCCCAAACTCACAAACCGCAAGATCATGATCTGGGCCAAAGTCAGACGCTTAACCAACTGAGCCACCCAGGTGCCCCTATTCTTTTCATGTTCAGGATCACATGTGATCGAATTAATTGTGACATCCAGAAATAATACAGTAAAATTTTTATTAAAATTTTTTTTTAATCTTTATTTTTGAGAGAGAGAGAGAGAGACAGTGTGAGCAGGGGAGGGGCAGGGAGAGAGGGAGACACAGAATCTGAAGCAGTCTCCAGGCTCTGAGTGGTCAGCACAGAGCCCGACGTGGGGTTCGAATTCATAAACCATGAGATCATGACCTGAGCTGAAGTCTGATACTTAACCAACTGAGCTACCCTGGCTCCCCTACTGTAAAAAATTTTAATTGGTTTCAAATTTTTATCTTGATGGAGCACTTGAGCTGTTGTTAGGCCATTGAAGTTTAGTTATATATGGTTACTTACTGTAGCAGGAACAGACTTAAGAGGAAACGTTCTCGTTTATTCAGTTGGGGAATATTGCTGTTTGTTGCATAAGCATTTCCAGCAGGAGTTTCACTTTAACTTAATGTGTCCCTGCAGTCAAATGCAAGGGTGATCCTTGTCCCTTGAGATTATATACTGACAGTCTGTTTCTGTGCCCCTTTGTGACCACATTCCCTAGTTAGGCTACAGGGTGGTTTAATGAACTAGAGGTCAAAAAGCAAACCAACTCTTCCTGAACTTCAAAGCTCTGAAAGGGAGAAAAACCAGAGCTAAGTTGATAGGTGTTTGACAAATAAAATGAGTCTCCTTGGACAGAAAAGCTATTTTGCCAGTTTGTATATAACCAGTGACAGTTAAAATTCAGTTTGTAGAGTAAGTATGGAAAATGAACATTTGACTTAAAAATACTATATGTAATGCTAGGGGAGACTATATTTCTTCTAATTTTTAGCTCTCCTTATATCAGACTTCCAAAACTACCATAGTTACCTTTTTTTTTTTTTTTTAATTTTTTTTAATGTTTGTTTATTTTTGAGAGACAGAGTGTGAGCCGAGGAGGGTCAGAGAGAGGGAGACACAGAATCTGAAGCAGGCTCCAGGCTCTGAGCTGTCAGCACAGAACCCGATGTGGGGCTCGAACCTACAAACCCTGAGATCATAACCTGAGCCAAAGTCGGACACTTAACCGACTGAGCCACCCAGGCACCCCGCCCCCCCTTAGTTACCTTTTAGAAGGTCAGGAAAAGCTGTTGTACACTTAATGCCCAGTTGCTTTGGTACTGATATGTCCTCATTCAACAGTATTTGAACACCCACAGTGTGCTGGACACTATTCTCCAGGCCCATGTGAAACAGTGGCTTTATCTGTTCCTATATCTGCAATGTGGCATTTACTTTATACAAACTAGAGATGTGAGCCCTTTAAAAGAGCTGTTAAAGGAGCTCTTTGGCCTAGTGAAGAAGACTGTGTTGACTTAAAGATCCTCTTGAGGTGAATTTTTTTTTTTTATTTTTTGAGAGAGAGTGTGAGTGGGGGAGGGGCAGTGAGAGGGGGAGACACAGAATCCAAAGCAGGCACTAGGCTCTGAGCTGTCAGCGCAGAGCCCGAAGCAGGACTCGAACTCACCCAACTGGGAGATCATGATCTGAGCCGAAGTTGGACACCCAACCGACTGAGCCACCCAGGCGCCCTTTGGGGTGAATTTCAAAACGCTTATTCACTTATTTGATAAATCAAATTTCAAAAGATACCCAAGGGTACAAAGTGAAAAGTCTCCCTCTATCCACCACGCTGGTAACCCCCTCGTTAACATTTTGTGACCCCTTCCCGGAGGTATTTCCCTTATGAATGGTAGCTGTCTATAAGTGATGTTTCACACTCATGTCCCCCCCCCCCCAATATACAGTATACCTAAGGAGGAAATTTTCACTTTAGCATGAATGGAGTTGTCTTATCTTTCTACTGTTAATAAAAAACTATGCTGTGACTAACTACATTCTGTATGAGCCTATCTGAAGAGTAAATTCCTTGTAGTGGAATACGTGGTGTAAAAAGATTGTGCTTTGCAGTTTTGATATATAGTGCCGAATTGCCCTCCAGAGATTTTGTAACAGTTTTTTCTTCGTACTCAGCAGCGTATGAAGGTGGGCACAAAGTCTGGAACCAGAGTGGAATTACACACTAAGTGGACTGCTAATATTACGTAGAATGTTTACTGACATTACATGCATTTAATTTGTCCTTGTTAACTGTGTACTAACACAGCATTTCATTGATCTCTGCTCAGGCACTTGCCTCAAAGTGATTTATGACACTGATAATTTTTTTTCCTTATTTAAATGAAAATTTTCAGACATTAGAGTCACCACCCTGTAAGAATCCCTGTTTTTTATACATCCTTGCATACTTGGTACATTTTCTGAACTCTTATTGTCTGTCGATTTGGTAGTTTAAAAGTGGTGTCTCCTGCTTCTATTTCTTGTTACTCTTACAAGTGAGATTTTTTTTTAGTGTCTTTGAGACGTTTGTTACCTATTTGTGATATTTTAGCTTTTCTGATGGGATAATCTGTTATCTGTCTAGCAAGAGTTTTTCTAACCCTAAGGATAAGTTGATTATCTTAATTTAACAGATTTTGATATATTTGTGCTGTATACAGGCTATGTATTTCCCTTAAAATTTGTTTTATTTGGAGACAGATTTATCTCTATGAAACACGAACATGAATTACAGAGTTGCTTATTTTAACTGCCTTTATTCTCCCCAATTAGTTGGTGACAAAGTTCCTGCTGATATAAGATTAACTTCCATCAAATCTACTACTCTGAGAGTTGACCAGTCCATTCTCACAGGTAAATATTATACATTGGAAAGTCTTTGAATGTGCAGACTCTCTCAGATCCCATGCTAAGAGTTGACTCTTGCCTCACTGTCCCTTTATCGTACTTCACTTAATCCTCTCCAAGATACTTACTTCTTAAAACTTCATAAATTAGGCTTTTTGCCAGTGTATGAGGTTTAAAAACAAACTTGGCTTTCATCTCCTAAGGCCCCGTTAAATTTTACCAAAAATTAGCTTTCAAAAAAAAAAAAAAAGTTACAAATTCCTACATTAGCAGAGGCAGTATTTCTTCCTTCCTTCCTTCCTTCCTTCCTTCCTTCCTTCCTTCCTTCCTTCCTTCCTTCCTTCCTTCCTTCCTTCCTTCCTTATTTTTGAGAAAGAGACAGCATGCAAGCAGGGAAAGGGCAGAGAGAGAGGGAGACACAGAATCCAAAGCAGGCTCTAGGCTCTGAGCTGTCAGCACAGAGCCCGACACGAGGCTCGAACTCACCCCAAGATCATGACCTGAGCCGAAGTCGGACACTTAACCGACTGAGCCACCCAAGCGCCCAGCAAGGGCAGTAATCTTCAGGTTGAAGTGTTGTCTCTCTCTTTTGTGGAAAATGAATTATTTAGTGTTCTTTTTCCAGTCAGGAAAAAAAGGCTCCAGAGCTGTAATTTTTTTCATTGGAGGAATGCTACTCTTGCATCTATCATACTTGGCAATGATCAAATGTGGAATTAACAAAAGCTAGCACCTTCCAAAATGGTGAATGTTTTACTGCCTGAAGTTTGCATGTTTAGATCTGAGATTGTTTGGAACATTTTTCCATTTTTGTTTGATAAAGGTACAGTCTACGGGGGAGGGTTCATATTAACTGGAAGTAAGGTGGTCAGAAGATTAACTCAGACACAATGCTAACCTGAATTAAATAGAGTATAAAATCCAAAGGTAATCAAGATTTATCTGATTATCAGTTTTGTAAAGCAGCTGAAGTAATGGGAGGTAGTATTGTGAGTAGCCTGAGCTCTGTTTTTTATTGTTTCGTTATGAATAGCTTATTTACTAAAACTCCCATTAGCAATAGCTGAAAGCTGATTAAGCCATAAAATGTTGGGAAACTGATTAGGTTGTGCATATAAAATTTTCATCGTGTGCCCATAGAAATAATTAACTTTTAAAACTTTTCATAGAATCTCTTAAATGTTTTTTGTTAATCATGTTCCAGTTTTAATAACTGGAGCCGTATTTTGCATTACTCAGAGTGACCCCAGTTATTTTCATAAGTGATGTTAAGTAAAGTTGAAACCAAATTCAATGAGACATTGTAAAAGTTGTAAGAAGTTGTCCTTTATATACCATGTGGTGTTTTTAGTGCAACTGCTGATGTTTTTCAGTTTTGTTTTATTGAAATAGAATGGTCTGATCACTCATCACTAATGCAGGTATTTCTAAAACTATGTTTTCATTTCTCATGTCTGACATTACTGAACAGGTGTCCCATTGATGCTCCTCATTACGTAATATAATGTATCTAGTTTTTTAGTGTGTTAAGAATATATGTTCACCTTTTTTTTGGAAGTATTAGTGTGTATGTGCAACTACGACAAATACATATAAATACATATTCACAGTATTAGAGTATAAAATTGATACCTGAAAACAGACTAGATTTGAATAGTTACTGTGGGAAATAAAGGCAGTTGACTGGGATTTTATTTCAAAATTAAGTTTATTTTGAAATTGTACTTATTTTAATCCTGACATTCTTTGCTCTGAAGTTAGTTTCTAAGTTTTACTAGCTCACCTCCTTCGAGCAGATGGGGTCTTTTATCCTATTTCCTGAGAGTGCTAGCAGTTTAATGAGTGAGGGTCCAGGTTCTACATGTGGATGGCACAGATCTAATGGTTCCTTCTCTCAACCTGCTTAGGTGAGTCTGTGTCTGTCATCAAGCACACTGACCCTGTCCCAGACCCACGGGCCGTCAACCAAGATAAGAAGAACATGCTGTTTTCTGTAAGTACTTTGTCAAATGTAAAGATCAGGTCAAACACCTTTAAATTCTTTATCTGTATACCTAGAAAAGTAGATCTGTGTGAGAAAGGCTTAGTCTATAAAGATGTTTTTAAATGATGTGGATGATAGTATGTAGATCACAGGAAAAAGGTGTGTGTTTAGAAAGTAAGCAAATGTGGCAACAATAATAAGAGGTGAGTCTGGGTGAAAAGTAAAATGGATGTTCATTGTACACCAGTTTTTCTGTTAAATTTTTTTGAAATGAAAAGTTGAGAAATTGATAGGCTTTGCTTGTTTGGCATTTAAAATACTTCAAATGGTAGGTATTTGTATACGGGTTAGTATGGGAGCCTAGCCACTCCTAGTAAGTAAAGTGCTATAGGATTACAGTGAAAATCATGAAGTTGTATCACACCAGCACTGGGAAGTAAAGTGGGGTGGGGAGAGAGTGCTCCTACTTGATTTCATGATTTCTGAATGCCAGTGCTTGAGTGGAGGTCCTCAAGGTAGCTCATGGTGCTGGTGGCCCTGCTTGTTATAGGTGATCACAGTGGGGGCAGGGAGGTTGAGCTATTGGAGCCAGCTGTGGAGAATGCTTAGGGTTGAGGGCCGGATGGAGTTTGAAGAGTCAGGAACGCAGAGGGGTTAGAGCCCTGTTCCAGCCCAAAGCCAGTCTGCAAGCCAGGCTCAATATTATGAATAGAGTTTCCAGGGGTGGGTGGTCAGGGTGGAGCTTCCCTGGGCAAGTAGGAACTGCATGAAATGAGAAACAAGAAGAGCCAGACCATGCTGCCTGCATTGTCCAGGTTGGATGGCTAGTTCTCTGAGTAGCAGCAGCCACTGGAAGGCCCAGCAGAATATGAGAGTGTCTGGGTGCTCTAATAAATACCCACAGACTAGTAAACTGTTCTGAGTTCACTAGTCGGTGTTTAAGTTGGGTGCAGTGTTACTCTTCTAATCAGTTTCCTCTACTTCTGTTGTAGGGAACAAACATTGCTGCTGGCAAAGCCATGGGAGTGGTGGTGGCAACTGGAGTTAACACAGAAATCGGCAAGATCCGGGATGAGATGGTGGCAACAGAACAGGAGAGAACACCCCTCCAGCAGAAACTAGATGAGTTTGGGGAGCAGCTTTCCAAAGTCATATCCCTTATTTGCATTGCAGTCTGGATCATAAACATTGGGCACTTCAATGACCCAGTTCACGGAGGCTCCTGGATCAGGGGTGCTATTTACTACTTTAAAATTGCAGTGGCCCTGGCTGTGGCGGCCATTCCTGAAGGTCTGCCTGCTGTCATCACCACCTGCCTGGCTCTTGGAACTCGCAGAATGGCAAAGAAAAATGCCATTGTTCGAAGTCTCCCTTCTGTGGAAACCCTTGGTTGTACTTCTGTTATCTGCTCAGACAAGACTGGTACGCTTACGACGAACCAGATGTCAGTGTGCAGGGTAAGTGGGAGTGATTTAAGACTCTTTGCTGCTGGTGGTTATTGATTCATCCTAAGAATATGCCCTCATGTCATCAAAACCTTGGATTTGTAATTTGATACCTTTTAAAGTACTTTAAACAAATAGGGTTGTGTGTATAGCCTTAACCCAAGGTAATCTGATGCCTCAAAGGAATTTAGTCCTCTAATTCCTAAAACTAATTCATGAAATAAGGGTATCTGCATGGTTAACGTACTTACACTGGGGAAGGTAACTATAAGACGGGCTGTAAATGTGTTAGGTGACTGCTCCATCACTGAGTGCATGTATGTTACTGAAACAGCCTTAAGAGAATTCTGTAAAGCAGCTAGTTCCCTACCTACCAGCCTAGCTAAACTTCTAACTTGTGTTTTCATAACACAGTGGATGAGACATGCTTTCTTGAAAGGCAAATAATTGCTTTGTTCTATGTTCATCCTTCTTTCTTAGGTTGTCTTGACCATCACTTGGGGGATAAAATAAGAAACTGTTTAAACTTGCCCTTAGAAAAGTAATAACTACAGAAATACTGATATAGCTGAATTAAGTTCTTTCCCTAGGTTTTATTTGAACAACTTTATACAAGTATAATTTTCCCAAAGGTACACAACTTGTAAAATACTGAGTGGACACCAAAGATCCTGTTTGGCTTGTTAAATATTGAGAGAATCAGTAAAATGGTAAAACTGATTACAAAGAGCATTTGAGGAAGTACTCAATATTAGAATAGAATTGCTATATGTTAGATTACAAAAACTGGTTAATATCCTATAGGGCACTGGCACCTGGATGGCTCAGTTGGTTAAGTGACCCGCCACTCTTGATTTCGGCTCAAGTCATGATCTCACGGTTTGTGGGTTTGAGCCCCGCGTCCAGCTCTGCACTGATAGTGCGGAGCCTGCTTGGGATTCTCCCTCTCCCTCTCTGCTCCTCTCCCATGCTTGCACTCTCTCAAAATAAACAAATAAATAAACTTTTAAAAAAAGTAGTCACTAGGGCAGTGAAACTACAGTTTGTCTTTCCTGTAGGAGTATCCACAGCCTCCTGTAAGTAATGAGCTCTAAATAAATAAATAGCACAGTGGAACAGTGTTTTATATTTCTAGAATACTAATCTTTGAGCCTGTAAAGTAATGCTTCTGAATGACATTGAAGGGACTGTGGATATCCTATTGGCCTTATTTCCAGGTTTTGGATAATGTTTTTTCGTATTAGAAATCATTTTTCTTCTAATACAATTAAACCCTTGGAATTTTTATCTTGCCAAATTGAAGCTCATGATGATTTTTAGATACACACACCCCCCCCCCCCCCCCCCCCCACTCCCACCAACTCTTTGTGTAGTCCAGACCCCAATTTAGAATGAATGGACAGGTGTTTTGTCTCTTATGTGGTAATAAGCAGGGTTTGACTCAGCTACCTAGGTTTACCTAGGTTTTCATTCCTTGGAACCAGAAAAGGTGTAAATTGGCTAATAGCTAGTTGTCAACTAATTTCAAACTATGGGAGCAAATCAGATTTCAAACTAAGAATAAAACAGAGTCTGTAATAAAAGATTTTTGTTTTTATATTTTCTCTTAGCTGGTGTAAGATGTTTTCTTCCATTAAACAGCGTAGCCTGCCTCTTTGTTCTGTTGTACCTCTGTGACAGAAAGCTGATGCTAATCTGTATTCTATGGGAGGTTTCTTGCAGCAGGTTGCATAACTGACCTTGACTTAGAAATACTTTCATCATGCAGTTCCTAAATGGTTTACTTGCTTGTAATCTACCATGCCCACTTGCATTCAGATTTACTTAATGTGAACTAAAATTCTGAATATCTTAGAATATTTTGGACCGTGGTATAAACTGAAAGTCTCACTTTTTTAAACTGTATCATTAAAGAAATGACATGGTGTGTGGTAATAATGTCAACTTATGATGTTGCTTAGTGCACTTAGTTTTTCACATTGTGACTTTATGAATCCTGGTAATCCTGCTCAAGAGGTTTAAAAACTCAGGCCCTGTGGGGCGCCTGGGTGGCGCAGTCGGTTAAGCGTCCGACTTCAGCCAGGTCACGATCTCGCGGTCCGTGAGTTCGAGCCCCACGTCGGGCTCTGGGCTGATGGCTCAGAGCCTGGAGCCTGTTTCTGATTCTGTGTCTCCCTCTCTCTCTGCCCCTCCCCCGTTCATGCTCTGTCTCTCTCTGTCCCCCCCCCAAAAAAATAAATAAACGTTGAAAAAAAAAAAAAATTAAAAAAAAAATAAAAACTCAGGCCCTGAGAAGTTAAGTGATATGTCTGGGGGTCACACAGCTTCTAATAAAAGGGTAAAAAAAGGGTAAAGTTGGGTTTTTTATAGGAGAGATGGGTAGTTAAATCTAGTCCTCTGTCTTCCACTTAATAATTATATAACCTTGAGCACTTGTTTAACCTCTCTGGTCCTTTGTTCCTCTTCTGTAAAATGTCAAACATATTTGGAAGGAGCCATTTGACAAGCTTCCTTTTTTTAGTTGTTGTATCTGTTAGAAAAAAATGTAGGCGTCACTGATACTGCTGCATGTGATCTTGGACATGAATCTTTTCCTCATTTAACACTGGTTGCGTATGTTTGAATTAGAACCTTTTTTATCAGGAGTCATCACAGTTTTAAATCCTCTTATATAATTTCATTAAAAAAAAAAAAAAAAGACATATGTCTTGTTCGTGGCTCTAGTTCCGTTCCAGGGTTAATTTATATCTAAATAGCTTTTGAAGTGAAGCTTTTTGGGCGCCTGGCTGGCTCAGTCAGTAGAGCATGTGACTCTTGATCTTGGGGTTGTGAGTTTGAACCCCGTGTAGGGTGTAGAGTTTAAAAAAAAAAAGAGAGGTGTTGGAATGTACAAAGTGGTGGGTATGGCGTGATAAAGAAGCATCACTTCAGCTCAGGTTATGATCTCACAGTTCATGAGTTCAAGCCCCGCATTGGGCACTCGCGCTGGGAACGAGGCAGAACCCGGCGATTTTCTCTCCTGTCTTGTGCCCCTACCCCTGCTTTATAACGTCTCTTTCCTCTCTCAAAATAAACTTTAAAAAAATATATTAAAAAAAAAAAGATAAAACTTTCAGAACTTAAAAGTTTGTCCTATATAACAAGCAAAAATCTTGTGAGGCAAAAATAAGTTACTTTATTTTTTTTTTTTTAATGTTTATTTTTGAGAGACAGTGCTAGTGAGGGAGAGGCAGAGAGAGAAGGAGACGATCAAATAGCAGATCTCAGGTCTCTGAGCTGGTCAAGTAACAGGAGCCGCATTCAGGGCTTGAAAAAGCCAGAACCCGCAGTGAGATCATGACCTGAACCAAGTGTGGATTTAACAACTGAGCCACCCAGGTGCCCCTGCAAAAGTGCTACTTAAAATAGAAAGCATGATGGGGAGCTTGGTGGCGAAGATAGGTGAATAGAGCATCCGGACTTCAGCCAGGTACGATCAAGCCGGTCTGCGTGAGTGTCCGATTTGCCTGTCGGGCTTCCTGAGCTGATGGTCAGGAGCCTGGAGCTCAGCCAGTTTCGACTTAGGGTAGATGTCTTCTCTCTCTCAGCCTCCCCGTTTTCATGCTTGTTCTCTGTCCCCAAAAAAATAAAATAAACATTGAAAAAAAAATTTAAAAAAAAAAAATAAAATAAGCATGAACTGATTTTGTTACTGAATCTGAGTTGAGATTCTCTGAAAAGATACCTTAAAGCACTACGTGGCTCTTTTTAAACTTGAGTTTAGTAGTTTTAAATTATTGTAAATGGTTTGATTATATATTTAAAATTTTTTTAATGTTTATTATTTTTGAGAGAGAGACAGAGTGAAAGCAGGGGAGGGGCAGAGAGAGGGGGAGACACAGAGAATCTGGAGCAGGCTCTAGGCTCTGAGTTGTTAACACAGAGCCTAGTGCAGGGCTTGAACTCACGAACCGAGAGATCATGCCCTGAGCTGAAGTCAGACACTTAACTGGCTGAGCCACCTAGGCACCCCGTTTTCTTCTTCCTGTCTCTCCTCTCTCACTCTCTCCTTCCTTCCTTCCTTCTTTCCTTCCTTCCTTCCTTCCTTCCTTCCTTCCTTCCTCTTCCTTTTTTAATGTTTTATTTGTTTTGAGAGAGTGCGCATAAGGGGAGGGGGGCACGGGAGAAAATCACAAGCAGGCTCCAAGTTGTTAGTGCAGAGCCTGACTATAGGGCTTGATCCCCCAAATGGCAAGATCATGACCTGAGCTGAAATCAAGTCAGACAACCAACTGAGCTACCCGGCCGCCCCTGGTCACGTTCTTAATTGTTCATATTTCAGAGGCATTCTGGCACCATAAAGTATAGTTGAAGTAGCACTTTGTGTTTTTGTTCTGTGTTTTATGAGAAGGTGTTATAGTTTCAATTTGCATGAAAACACAAGTCTAAATCTGAGTCTTCCAAACCGGGCTTCTAAATCATGATTGAAAAGCAAACCGAGGGGGGCTGGGGGAACCTGATCTTTAAGAAACTAGCTCATGTCACTGTAAAATTAAGAATCCTTTCCTAAGCATGCTTCTGTCTGTGTTCCCTTGGTGATGTCAGTTCAGTCAGTTCTGCAGGCTCCTTACTGTGCACATGGAGTTATGCAGCTTCATAGAAAATGAGCTATTGCCACAATAAAAATAAGTGGGAAGGAGGAGAGAAGTGATTTGTCTTATTTTACTCAGGGAATGTTTATGCAGCTCTGAAATGTGAGTTTATTCTTCCCAGGCTTTTACTATTAGCTCCCAGGCATGACTACCTAATATTACTTTCTCAGCCAGCCATTTGAAATTGGGAATTCGGAGTCCTCTGAAGACTACTGCTGTGTCTTTGGAATTGAATGACCTGGAGTCCTCATAACTTAGATTTCATGTGGGTTGTCTTCTGTGTCTTTGGTGCCCCTGTTGTTTATTTATTCAGCACCTCTGTGATACTGTTTTTCAGACTCTTGGATGGATGGGGGAGGCAATCCTAAATAGCATCTAGTTGGAATAAGGAAAAATCTGATGCTGAGGTTCAGTTCATAAGTTTCATTAAAATTGTTTTCTTCCATGAGAAATGCTTTTTGTCTTAGCAGAGATTATTTTTTTCTGGCACATTTTAAACACTTGACGCTTTTTTTTCTGTAGATGTTCATTCTGGACAAGGTTGAGGGGGATACTTGTTCCCTTAATGAGTTTACCATAACTGGGTCAACATATGCACCTATTGGAGAAGTGTGAGTAAACCCACCTTATCATTTAAAGGATCCGTTGTAGCAGTTTGGTACTTGTATAGATTTAAGAGAAAACAGGTTATAAGTCAGTGACTTTTTTCATTTTTATTTAGCTCTGCTTTAGAGCCTAATTTTTCAGCTGGTTTGTTCTGTATTGATACCTGTGGTAAGAATTTCATTAATTAAGAACTTCTGGTCTTTACTGGTTGATTCCTAATATCAAAGACACATTCTGTTGTCTCCAGCATCAGATTTCTAAGAACCATCACTCAAATTCTTTTGAATACTTGCCAGGCTGTTGCCCACAAAATTATATTACAAATTAAATAAAAATCAATAGAGATGACCACATTATGCTCTAAAAGTGTTTTTCTTCTTTTGATAGGCATAAAGATGATAAACCAGTGAAATGTCATCAATATGATGGTCTTGTGGAATTGGCAACAATTTGTGCTCTTTGTAATGATTCTGCATTGGATTATAATGAGGTAAGGCTCCTCATAAATGAAAAAGTAGACCTGGCTATTCTAGCTCAAAGGTGGGGTGGGTGGAATGAAAATCCAGCCTTCCTTCCTCTGGAAAGTAACAGTTTCTGATTTTATTTCCTCTTTCCATTTTATCCGAGTCAGCATGACCTAGTCAAAGAAAGCCGAGAGCCTTTCATACATCCTCTGAGTGTTGCAGTCACTTTTAAACTAAGAGGATGTATGCAATGTTTCCTTTGGCTTGTAGTGTGGCTACCAAAAGTGAAGAAAACCTAGGAGAGGAAATGTTTTCCTGAAAGTAGAGGGTATTAATCTTGTTTTTTAAGATGGGTAGTATTATATCCTTGAGGATGAGCTGAGGCTTAGAGGGCTGTTTTGATGATGATGATGATGATGATGATGATGATAAAATAATATAAAATTTAAACAGTAGACCTTTTTTTCCTCCCTTTTTACTTACAGATTAACCCACTGGTTTCTAAAAGACAAGCCAGTCTCCATCAGAACCTGAATGTGAACTCTGTAGAATGATAAATAATGACATGCAATTTCACATACTATTTGAAAGTTGTTTGAATTAATACTATGACTATTGGCTTCTCATAGTTAAAGGAAATAAAAAATATAGTTATTAAAATAAGATAAAATGTGCTTTGAGTGTATTTTTGTCTGCCTCATTTGCTCCAGAGTAGGATAAAAACAGCCCTGACAATAATGGTGCAACGAAAGACAAGCTCTCCTCTGATGGGAAGTCTTTATTGATGAAAAACTTATTCACTGCTTTTTCACTTTATGCTTTTAACCAATACAGGCAAAGGGCGTGTATGAAAAAGTTGGGGAAGCTACAGAGACTGCTCTCACTTGCCTAGTAGAGAAGATGAATGTATTTGATACCGAATTGAAGGGTCTTTCTAAAATAGAAAGAGCAAATGCCTGCAACTCGGTCAGTATTGAAGCGTGGGGTGTTGTGTGCACTGTCTTTCGTTCCCCGCCCTCTTGGACAAGTAGGTAGATTCATACCTTTCTCCTCAAACTGGCGGCATCTCCTTCTCTCATTTGCTCTCTGGTACAATAGTAGTATGTTTTTTATCTTAAAACTTTCTTTTTTTTGTTTCCCCCTTTAGCACTCTGCTTCTTTTCTAGTAAAATTTCTCAAAGTAGCTGTTTTAATGTATTCTCTTGTTTCACTTTTCTGATTTTCTCCAGTGCACTCCAGTCAAGTTCTTTTTTTTTTTTTAAGTTTATTTTGTGAGAGAGAGAGTGCATGTGCAATCTGAGGAGGGGAGAGAGGGAGAGAGTATCCCAAGCAGGCTCTACAGTGCCAAAGCAGAGCCCGATGCAGGGCTTCAACTCACGAACCGTGAGATCGTGACCTGAGCCGAAGTCAGACACTTTGACTGAGCCACCCAGATGCCCCTCCGGTCAAGTTTTTTAAGCATTTTGGTGAGCACACCAATGTCAGGCTGTGAAAGGGTCCATCCAGTCCAGTCTGGCATTCACAGACAGGGAAACTGAGTGAGGCCTGCAGTGATGAGCATAGTCTCACAGGGTGAGGCAGAACTGGACTCCTTCTCTAGCACCCTCTCTTTGCATCATTTTATCTCCTTTATATTATCAAGAAAACAAAGCTCACACCAGAATTAAGGCCCTCCCCGCTGTGACATGATCCACACTCCACCATTAGCAATCTCATAGTCACAAGGGTCCTGGGCAGCTCCTGTGGCATCCATAAAATGGGAGATGTCCTGGTCTCCATTTTAGAGCCCTCACTCTCACACTGGCAGTGAGCTGGGGTGGGATAAAGGGGGCAGAGGGGCATCCTTGCAAAACCACATTGTCTGACAGCTCTATTAGTTGGTTTGACTAAGTCCCTCAGAGGCAACCTTCACAGAGACTGAGGGTTAGAACTGTTTGATTCTAGACCAGTAACCACTCGATAAAGGGAAACAAGTAGTATGGAGCTTACAAGCAGTGTGTTAACTGTCATTTTGACGGGACGTAAGGGCAAGGCTGTCTGTTCTCTTGTCTGCAGACTAAGCCATTTCTTGATCCTTGGCTGCCTCATTTTTTGTCAGCAGCTGAGCGAGGAGATCAGTAATGACTGTCATGGGGGCTCCTTCACTGAAAATTTCCAGATCTGAACTCATGCCAGTCTCCGGCCCCTAGAAAGCAGGAACCTGTTGTAGTTCAGAGAGGAAGTGGGCAGAACCCAGCTTTTTTTTTTTTTTTTTTTTCCAACGTTTATTTATTTTTGGGACAGAGAGAGACAGAGCATGAACGGGGGAGGAGCAGAGAGAGAGGGAGACACAGAATCGGAAACAGGCTCCAGGCTCTGAGCCATCAGCCCAGAGCCCGACGCAGGGCTCGAACTCACGGACCGCGAGATCGTGACCTGGCTGAAGTCGGACGCTTAACCGACTGCGCCACCCAGGCGCCCCGAACCCAGCTTTTTAAGGCCTAATGGACTATCCTGATGCTGTTAGAAATGGCTGTATTCTTCTCTCCACCCAGGATGTATCTGGTGCCTAGATCTACACCTAAGAATCACTACACATTCCTTCAGTCTTTCTAGAGCATTTGGTGGAAATGCTCAATGGAAACTAAACACGTAAATACATACGAGTCAAATAATGCAGAATTCAGTGATGGTCTTTTTCTGCTTGAGGCAGCTCTGGCTGAGAGGATGACCATAGTCCACACAGCCTGGCAGAGAACCCACAGATGTCTGTCCACTCGTCACTGCCCACATTGGATGCTGAGGTTCTTGAGGATTTCTGCAATTACTAGCTTTGTATCTGAGTGGGGGATGGGGGAGGATCAGTGTAATTCACATAATTGAATAAAGACAGAAAACCATAAGATCATTTAAGTAGATACAGAAAGGGCATCTGGTAAAATTTGTGTTCATGATAAAAACTCCACAAACCTGGGCACCTAGGTGGCTCAGTCGGTTAAGCTTCCAACTCTTGATTTCAGCTCAGTTCATGATCTTAGTTTGTGAGATAGAGCGTGGAGCCTGCTTGTGGTGGTTCTCTCCCCATCCCTTGCTGACTTGCTCACTCTCTCAAAATAAACTACAAAAACAAAACAAAAACAATTCAGCAAACCTGTCTTCAAGTTGAAGGTATATTTACACAGAGTCTGTACTAATGTCATACTTAGTAGCGACAAAAAATTTTCTGCTCTCAATGTTTCTATTCAGTATTGTCCCAGCAGCCCCAGTCAATGCAATAAGACAAGAAAAAGAAATCAAAGGTATTAAAATTAGAAAGGCTAGTGTAGGGCACCTGGGTGGGTCAATGGGTTAAGCATCCGACTTTGGCTCAGGTCATGATCTCACAGTTCGTGGGTTCGAGCCCTGCGTCAGGCTCTGTGCTGACAGCTAAGCCTGGAACCTGCTTCAAATTCTGTGTCTCCCTCTTTCTCTGCCCCTCCCCTACTCATGCTCTCTCTCAAAAATAAACATTAAAAAAATTTTTTTACTGTTAAAAAGGTACAGTGTATGTTGTAGATAACATGGTTGTGTACACAACGCAACAGTGTCTGAATCCAAAGAGTCATTTTCAGTCATTTACCTGAGCTGTTGGTCTCTCCCTCTGTGAAACATTCCTTCACTTGTTCTCCTCCCTCCCATCCCTCTGCCAACTCCTTGGCTGGATCTTACACATATGACCGGGGGTGGGGAGGCCCCAGAGCCCAGTCCTCAACCTTTTCTGTCTTTAGTTATTTCCATGAGCTCTTCTGGTCAGTGTGCTGGCATCTAATGTGCAGGCTCCCTAAAGCTATTTAGAATAAAGAGAACAATGGCTTTTCAGGTGCTTAGTAGCCACATAGGACAGCTACATGAACAGCTCCCATAGAACATTTCCATCACAGTAGACACTTCTGTGGGGCAGTAGTGCTGTGGACCAACCATTCCTGCCCACGGTTGCCATCATCTCTCTTAGATTATTTGTACTAAATGGTGCTCCTTGTCCCCCTTCAACTGCGAGAGCCTGAAACCCTCCATCATCTTCCCATTTTCACTTGCTATAAAAGCCAATTGCCTTAAAGTGACTTTCAAAGTCCTACAACCTGCTTCTGTCCTCCCACACCTACTCCCCCCCACCCCCTGCCCACCGGCCATTACACTTCTCTCTTTTTCTTGCGACTCTTTCAGCTATATGGCCCGGAGGCTCCTTGAACATGCCAGGTCATGCCAGCCTGCACTTCGGCACTCTCAGCTCACACATCCTTCACATTTTTACTCAAACTCTGCCTTCTTCTGACTACTTTATGTAAAATTGCAACCTATACATACACAAATTTTCTATCTCCCTTCCTTGCCTTATCTAAACATTTTTTCCTCCATAGCATTTACTATATGTGCATTTACCTTCTAGTGTGTCTTTCCCAAATGAGAGGGCAAGTTTAAACTTCATGAGGGTGAGAACTTGTTCGCTGTCCATGGCTAAACCCCAGCACCTGTCACAGAATAGGCGCTTAATGAACATTTGTTGACCAAGTGAAAAATATTCAGAAATTGTTACCCAGTAGTATTCCATGCGTGTTCTCTTTTCAGGTCATAAAGCAGTTAATGAAAAAAGAATTTACTCTCGAGTTTTCACGCGATAGAAAATCAATGTCAGTTTATTGTACACCAAACAAACCAAGCCGGACATCGATGAGCAAAATGTTTGTGAAGGCAAGTACAGCAGATTGCAGTTGAGATGTTCTTTCCAGGATTAGGATCCTGGGTGAGCCCAGTAAGTACAGTTCCTGATCTAAATCTGTAACATTTCCAGGGCGCTCCCGAAGGTGTCATTGACAGGTGCACCCACATTCGGGTTGGAAGTACCAAAGTCCCTATGACCCCTGGAGTCAAACAGAAGGTCATGTCTGTCATCAGGGAATGGGGTAGTGGCAGCGACACACTGCGGTGCCTGGCTCTGGCCACTCATGACAACCCACTGAGAAGAGAAGAAATGAACCTTGAGGACTCTGCCAACTTTATCAAATATGAGGTTAGCTAACAAAATGTTCCTTCCCCCACACCCTGCACACTCATTGTGTTCAAACAGCGCTCCTTCAGTAAAAGGTCAAATGAGTCTTGCTTTTGCCAAGAAAGAGGTGTGGTTATTTGTTTTTCTGCAGGCCAAATGCCCCACCATTCTAATTCAGCGTGCTGCTTCCAGCATGCCTAGTTAACAGTTTAATACAGGTCTGTTGCTTTCGAGGTAGGAAAGTCCAGACTTGAGCCAAAGAAACTTGTAAAAATGATTTTGCAACTCTTAAGTAAATTAAGATGTTTTAAAAATAGGGAATATTTTTTTAAACATTCGTTAGTTACTGAAGGTCAAAATATCCAAGTTGAGAGATTTCTTCTACTCCTCTGCTCATAGTAGAACTCTTGAATTCTGGGTGTGTGACTTCCTGAAGCACTGACCGAGAGGAATTAGGAAGAACTGGTCCTCTGGGCCATAAGAGTGGCCAGTATCAAAATGCTCTTACTCCTTAGTATGTTTTTTTCTTCCTTTCAGGATATTATCCTGAAAGTTAAAGGATGATTTGGTTCAAGAAGGTAGTGATGTTTTTTATTCCTTTCTGGTTCATTGGAAGAAATACTATTCCTCATTGGATTTATATCTGTATGAATGTTAATCTTAGAGAAGAGTCACAGCTACAGAATTTACCATAGGAAAATGGGAGAGGCCTTTGCTCTTTATGTATAACTGGTCCTTGTTTTACATTAGGGGAGAAACTAGAACTTCCTGTTTTAACGTAAGATGATTCTTTTGCTGTAGACTAATCTGACTTTCGTTGGCTGTGTGGGCATGCTGGACCCTCCAAGAATTGAAGTGGCCTCTTCTGTGAAGCTTTGCCGGCAAGCAGGCATCCGGGTGATCATGATCACAGGGGACAACAAAGGCACTGCTGTGGCCATCTGTCGCCGCATTGGCATCTTTGGGCAGGACGAGGATGTGACGTCAAAGGCTTTTACGGGTCGGGAGTTTGATGAGCTCAGTCCTTCAGCCCAGAGAGATGCCTGCTTGAATGCCCGCTGTTTTGCTCGAGTTGAGCCTTCCCACAAGTCAAAAATTGTAGAGTTTCTTCAGTCTTTTGATGAGATTACAGCTATGGTGAGTACCTTTGGACTCATGCTACACAGATACAGCAAGTTGTAATTTTGACTGTTAAATTTTTAGTAACAGCTCCCAAATTCGGAATATCTTGATTTTCGTCATGATCAGAGCTGTCTCTCTAGGGTTCTGTTAACCAGTAGTTGGCATGCTATGTACTATTACCTTCAGGGAAGATTCTAGACTAGTTTACGATGTTGAAGTATGCCTTCTGAATCAGTCACAGGGAAATATGTGGTGATATCTAGTCTTTGTCTTGGTTAAAGTATACATGTTATCTCAAGTTTTCTAAAAATTGATTCAGGACTGAACTCCTCTGTTTTCTATTCCCAATCTTTGGATAACCCTACCTGAAATTAGATGTACTGTTGAAGCATTAAGAACTGCTTATTGGTGAGGCATTTCCGGGATTCTTCCCTTTGTGTGATTCTTCACCCAGACAAGTTCACGTTGTGGAGTGTTTGCTTTCTGTTGCTCGTCTGTGAAACTTTTTTAAAAGGTGTTATTTGAAAGAATATATTAACAGGTGTTCTTCCTTCTCTCAAAGGGAACCACTTTTCTGAATTGAATGTTGGGTGTTCAGTAAAAGTTTAAAAAAAAATGGGAGTGATAGCTTTGTATCTGTTGACGATATTTAGTATTTTTCTGATCTTTGTAAATGGCATGTTCTAGTTTCCTAGAATAGTGCACCTATTGTACTTGAGATTTGTCTGTGTGATACATGTGCTTCATCTTTACTGCCACGTGGGTGGTTTTGTGTTTTGTTTGGTAAAAAAATAATACAGAAGAATTTGAAGTCCCCTTTGTGCCACTTCCCTCCGAAGTCTCTTCGGTAAGCTCATTCACCGGTTGTACGTTTCCCAGGTGAAGTGCATTTTGTGACACCAGTTTGTAAAACTGAAAATTCTCTAACTGTGCCCAGAAGCCCAAGGCTCCATTCATTGCCCTTGCTTCAGGACAGTGAAGCCTTTGTTGGGGTGCATGTGTGAGGTGATGGCAGGTGTGCAGAAACCAGTTCTCGCTTTCCCTTTCAGACCGGGGATGGCGTGAATGATGCTCCCGCCCTGAAGAAATCGGAGATTGGCATTGCCATGGGCTCTGGCACGGCAGTGGCTAAAACCGCCTCTGAGATGGTCCTGGCCGACGACAACTTCTCCACCATTGTGGCTGCTGTCGAGGAGGGGCGGGCGATTTACAACAATATGAAGCAGTTTATCCGCTACCTCATCTCTTCGAATGTGGGGGAAGTTGTCTGGTGGGTCCCTGCGAAAGAGCACTTGTAGTCTTTTTTTCTAAAATTGGCTTGGGATGACCAGTTTTCCAGATTTGTTCATGTGGCAGCACCTTTGGTCTTTGTGCAGGAGTCGGGAGGGAGGAGTGAGAGGAAGGAAGGTAGAGGTTCATTTGGCTCACGGGAGAGCTGTCTTTGGCTGTCTTGGGCGGTGAAGGATGCCCTAGAACATAGAAATGAGTTTAACTATGGCCTTCTAACATTTTACTTTAACTCAAAATTAGGTATACTGAGTGTTTGATGATGGCCAAAAAAAGTTATTTCAAGCAGTCATTGTTACTGTCCATTGATTTTGGGAGGAGGAGAGGGTACTAATGCTATTTAAAATAGTGGCCAAAAATAATTTGGGGTCTTTCTCTTTCTTTGGGTGGAAACAGTATTTTCCTGACTGCAGCCCTTGGATTTCCTGAGGCTTTAATTCCTGTCCAGCTGCTCTGGGTCAATCTGGTGACAGACGGCCTGCCTGCCACCGCACTGGGGTTTAACCCACCTGATCTGGACATCATGAACAAACCACCCCGGAACCCGAAAGAACCACTGATCAGCGGATGGCTCTTTTTCCGTTACCTAGCTATTGGCTGTGAGTACAGTTTTTTATATTCTTGATTTAAAAAAAAATTTTTTTTAATGTTACTTATTTTTGAAAGAGCATGAGCAGGGGAGGGGCCGAGAGAGAGCGAGACACAGAATCCCAAGCAGGCTCCAGGCTCTCAGCTGCCAGCACAGAGGCCCGACGTGGGGCTTGAACTCACAAGCTGTGAGATCATGACCTGAGCTGAAGTCGGATGCTTAACTGAGAGCCACACAGGCGCCCCTATGTTGTTGATGTTTAAGCGTAATCTTTATAAGCCAAAGTTTTGTAAATTCATCCCTTAACACACATTTTTTTCTTCTATCCCCATATTAGGGTAGCAAAAAATGGAGTTCAGTAAACTGTATGTTCAGTTTACAGTAAAGTCAGTCCCTTGTTTTAGCATCCTTATCATCCCTTGGGACTTTGTGAATGAGATTTTCAGATTTAATCTAAGGGCAAAGGGATATAGGGGTGAGTCAGGGTCAGGCCTTATATCCCCAGGCTATGAAACTAAGCCCTGCTTCCCCTGAGTAGAGAAGGGTGATGTGCATTGATCTGCAGAGGTTGGTAAACACACAGGAACCTCGACCACAGGTCATGTTCCTCTACATACATTGTTTCTGTAGACTTCATGCTCTTGGCCCAGCTGCTGATTCTTGTCCCCCAGCTTTAGAAAAGTGAGGCCTACAGAGTTTAAATAACTTCCCTGGGGTTCCATAGGAAGGTGTTTTGGTTTTGTTTTAATAAGTTCGCATGATTTAAAATTCAAAAAGGACATTGGCATAGCGTGAGAAGGTTCTCAGCGAGTCAGTTGCCCTCCAGCATTGGGTTTTTCATGTGCCCTCCCAGAAATAAGTCTAGCAAACAGATCTATTTCATGTATTTATTTTCATAAGTGTTGGCGTGCTGTAAACACCTGTGTGCTGAACCCTGTCTCCGTGTACCTTTTCCTGTTTGCTGGGAGTTGCCACATCGGTGTGTGTAGAGCTGCCTTGTCCCCATGCACCAACTCTCTCATTCCTGCCCATAGCTGCCAGGTTAGGGGATGCACCTGTGTCGTGGTGGTGGGTGCTGCTGCATCGGCACCATCTTCACAGTGTCCAGTCCCTTGTTCTCCACTACCCCGTTGCTTTGTAGTAAACTTGTTGAGTTCAGAACTGATAGGTTGGGAGGGAAGGTGGTCCCAGAATCAGCTCTGGGTTTTTGTCATGTTGCCTGTGTTCCGCACTAACTGCTCTGACAGCATTTCCATGTAAAGGTTCTGCAAGGCCTTTGATAGAGCAAATAAGCGTACACCTGGGAGCATCAGTTTCCCTAAAAGTCCTGGGTGCTGTGATCTGAGCCAACACAGCAAGGGCTTACATAGAGTATGTGTGTACCTGCTGCCAGTTAGAGAAGGCATGGCTGTCATCGAGGTCCCTGCCAGTTGCAGTATTTCCTTTTTCTCATAAACTCTGGAGGAAAAGTTGCCTGGTTTTTCTGTACCAGACACCCCTCTCCTTGCAGAGACCCACCGTCAGCTGCTTGGGCTGATGTGAGTGAGCAGTTGCTAGTGGCAGCAAAGCTCTCCAGTGCCATCGACAAACCAGGTCTCATCTCTGCGGGGGATTGGCCTGTGAGGCAGAGCCCGCAGTATAAGCTGTGGGCTGCAAACCCTGCCTGTGTCTGTTACCAGGTTACGTTGGCGCTGCTACTGTGGGTGCTGCCGCTTGGTGGTTTATTGCTGCCGACGGGGGTCCAAGGGTGTCCTTCTACCAACTGGTACGTATCCACCTTTCTTTCTGTACCTTAGAGGCAAAGTGTAAGATTGCCCTTGAGTTTTTGTGGTTTCGGTGCCTACGAAATCATCTTAATGCGTAAATAATAAACAGTTGCATCTAAGATTATTCTGAAGGACCAGGGCTTCTCTGGTGGATGGACTGAGATCTCCTGTGGGTCTGTGTTCTGAGATTTACTGTGTCACTGGGGCATGGACCTTGGAAATGGACTTGGCTGATCAGGAACTTGAATGGGTGTTTGTTGCAGAGCCACTTCCTACAGTGTAAAGATGACAACCCGGACTTTGAAGGAGTGGATTGTGCAATCTTTGAGTCCCCGTACCCGATGACAATGGCGCTGTCTGTTCTAGTAACCATAGAGATGTGTAACGCCCTCAACAGGTCAGTGAGTCCTCCACAGGCTGGGGCAAGAGCTCCCCCAGCCAGGGCCTAGGGGAACTGTGTGTCTTGCTTGATGGAGGATCTCAGGAAAGCTCCTCCCTCCCAGAAAGAAAAGAGAACAAGCAGCACCGGTTTTAAAAGCTTAAGTCGTCATCACCTCCAGGAAGTAGTGGGAGTGTTTAACCACACGTTCTTTATGAGACAGCAGAGGCCAAAAATAGGGACTTTAGAGCCCCTATACGCCAATGCCCACAGGGAAGGTGCTCTTGCTCTTTAGCAGTGAGATAAATGGTATCATCCAATTAAGCCCATGACAAAAATGGAAATCCCAAAATAGCATTAAGCATCAAGGGCAATTGAGAGCATCTTGGAGTCCACTGAAATCATCTGTGCCGAAGGAAGCCTAGATTTAAAATTGGAAGTTTGTCCTACATTTGAGCATTCTTCTTTAATTTTGCCACAGTAGAAACTTTACTCAAAAGAATTGGGTCAGTGGGCAATGCCAAGTTAGCCACTATCCTATTAAGGAAAGCTCCGAATGGTCTTTGTCACTTGTAACAAAGGTGTTTGCCTTTTGGACAGGCATGTGTCATGTCCCTCTCCTTGTTCTGCAGCTTGTCTGAAAACCAGTCTCTGCTGAGGATGCCCCCTTGGGAGAACATCTGGCTCGTGGGCTCCATCTGCCTGTCCATGTCGCTCCATTTCCTCATCCTCTACGTGGAACCTTTGCCAGTAAGCGGTGGCGGGACCAGGACCGAGCTGGGGCCTAACTGCCTGTCCTGCAAGTTTGGGAACTTGACAAAGCTTCTTTGTATTTCAGCTTATTTTCCAGATCACACCGCTGAACTTGACCCAGTGGCTGATGGTGCTGAAAATCTCCTTGCCTGTGATTCTAATGGATGAGACACTCAAGTTTGTGGCCCGCAACTACCTGGAACCTGGTAAAGAGTGTGTGCAGCCTGCCACCAAATCCTGCTCGTTCTCGGCATGCACCGATGGGATTTCCTGGCCGTTTGTGCTGCTCATAATGCCCCTGGTGATCTGGGTCTATAGCACAGACACTAACTTTAGTGATATGTTCTGGTCTTGACTGACAGTTTTACATAAAGAAGATGTTTAACTTAATCAATTAATTTTTTTATTGTTTAAAGCAACTGTCTATTTCTGCTGAATTTTCACATGAACATACTGGCTGGTGAAGGAGATTTCATACTCTAGATTTTGTTTTGCTTTTTCTGACTCCAGTGGGGCAAGATTTTCCTTTTTTATACACATAATTAAAGTGTCCATTGACATGTACAGAGAACTAACACTATTTTATGCAAATATTTTTTTGTAGATGAAAAAGCATGTACAGTGTTCTGTTTAATACTCATCCTTGTATAAAAAAAATAGTTGAGCCAGCAGACATTGTCAGCAAATTAATTGGCAGCAGATTTTAGGAAATGAATGTGTGTGTTTTTTCTAAAACTAAATAGCATGTATTGTGTCTTCTGCATGATCATCTGGATTTAATCTGAGATCACAGTCTAATTTTTATTCATAAGCCAATTTTTCTGCACTGAGCAGAGTACTGCTACCTCAGTCAGTATTTTTTGGTTTGCCACTCCCCTCACCCCCTGTGGCCCCCATTCACTTCCACCCCCACCCCCCACACTCCCAGCCCCGCTCGGCTGCTTCTCCTGTAGGGTTTTGATGGTTCTGTTTACATCAGTCTTAACAAGAGGTATGCCTGTTCTCGCTTGTGCAGAAAACATTGTTCCAGATACAATCGACTGGGTTCATGTCCCCCCACGTAGTTTTTAAGGTTATTTATTTAAATGTCTAATGTATTTTATTGTAACAGACATTGTTTTGCCAACATTGCCTATTTCAGTGGCACTTCACAATCTAGTTTAAAAGGAAAATAAAACATTTTAAATGGACAGAAAAATAACTGTCTTGTTTTTAACTTTTAAGTGGCTTAGCTTGAACTATCTAACAGCCGTGTCCAATTTTCTCTTAAGTTCTTAGCTCAGAACTTTAGCTTTACTGTGCTCTAGGGGAAGAAAGATCCTGTTCTGCTGCATAGGTAGTTGTAGGAGTTCATGTATACGTACCAGTTGTCATCTGTGATACTTTTTATGCAAGTTTCTGCTGGCCTGTTGTAGCCTGGTGTAGAGAACATAAGGGCGCGTGCGTGCGTGTGTGCGTGTGTTTTTGTAAAATCTGTAAATAGCACATGACCAAATGAACATATTGTATAGAACTATTTTTATTTGAATGTGGCACTAACCAACACCATGTTACTATGATAAATGTTTGCGCATGTTCGAGATCAGTCTTACCAACAGTGTGTAAGCCATTAACTGTCCTAACTATGGTGTTTTCCTCCAATGCCTTCCAACATCATCAACTAACGTGAGTATTCCCTGGAATCCAGATGCTTTAGCCTAAAGGTGACTGCCACCGAGTGAGCTAGCTGTGTGACATGAAAAAGCCCCTTGTGTCATGCACTGCTGTGCTCTGTGACAGTCTCTGAGTGCAGCAAGTGTACGATGCGTGGTACCTGTGCACACGGGGGCTGGGTTAGCTGACGCGAGGTGTGACATCTGTAGGCTCCATGCACTGCCTTGGTCAGTGGCACAGCCGGATGTCAGGGAGAGCCTGGGGAGAGAGAAGCTCGTTTTGCTTTGGTCCAACTTACAGGCTGAGAGAATGCTGCCTTTGCTAATGCCAAGATGAGGACTCTCAAAAACTTGTGGTTCTTTGGTCTTTACTAGCTGCAAGGATTCATCCAAGAACCTTGCTACCTGGTTCATTAAAAAGCAAAAATCTAGTGAAAGCAAATAGTTGAACCAGTCAGTTCGTGTATCCAATAGGTTGGTCTCAAGTAGGCCACCTCTTTTCACCTTCTGGGTCCTATCCTTTGCAGCTGGGACTTGTCTTCTCTCTCTCCAGGGTACGTTAAAGCAGAGTTATTTAGGGCATGGCTCTGCTAGCAGCCAGCCTTGTCCGTGAGCCAGGGCGAAGGAGGCCTAAGCAGGAGCTCCCTCCCCATGAGGCCCTGAGTGTTCCTATGAAGGCTCTGGAGGCCCAGATTTGGGACCAGCCAAAAGATGTGATGTAAAGGCTTCCAGTTTGGGGGAGAGTTGGTGGGAATCATCAAGCGGGGCAGGGTACTGCCAACTTGCAAGGTCCGAGTGTAAGGGGACAGAAGTCCCATCCTAACTGCATGAGGTCTCTGAGAAAGGGAGGTTGGTCGGTTTGGCAGAGCGTGTAACAGGGAAGAGGATGGGTTTTGCCAGTTTCGGCATCATGAGGCCTAAAAAGGACCAAATGCAAGGAGTGTGCCTTGGCTGCAAACCAGAACAGGATGTCTGAGCTTGTTGGGTGGTGTGCTATTCAATGGAAACCAAACTTACCCAATAGTCAGCTTTTCCTGACTTGGTTCCTCGAAGTAGTAGCCTTTACAAAAGAAGTTAAATATTGTTTGCTGCTGTCGGAGAAATGCACAGCTCCAGATCAGCCTGGGCAGGCTGTTGCCTTGTGGTTTCTCAGCTTCAGGCCCATCCAGCCTGGAGGCAGTTTCAGCACCCGCTTCCCTCAGCCCAGGCAGCTAGGAGCATCCCCTTGTGCCCTCTGCTTCAGGCTTTGCCACATCAGCGCCTCCTCAGCAGTTGTACTGTTGTGGACGCATCCAGGGCCTCGGGCCTCCCACAGTGAGGGGCAGGTGCCCAGACCAGACCCATCCTCACCCAGCACCTGCAGGAAATTCCGAGGCGGCCTCTGCTTTTGCCGCCATCAGTACCGGTGTCCTTTTCAGACCTACCAGAACTTGTTCGTGTTCTCACCGATGGGCAGGTAGGCCTTGCACGGCTTCTTGGTTAGGCCTTTGCCTAAAAGATGGCGACATCACACATCCTCCAGGTGCTCATCTGCACAGTGCAGGTGATACTTTCTATAGAGAGCTGCGTGAGCTCACAGACAAGCAGGGCGAGTGCCAGCCTCCCCGCAAGCAGCTGCTATCACATCACCCTCAGGGGCCTCAGCTCCCTGAATGCCCTTTAGGCGGCAGACCTTCTGGAATATGAGACCACAGGCATTAGCTCGGGGTCTGTAAAGCGGCTCCCCACTGCCTAGAGCCAGAGGGGTCTGCAGCGCCCATGGGCTAAGTCGGCCAAATCAGCTATTGCCTTTTTAACATAACCACCAATTTTGTCAAAGCCACCACCGCTCAGCCAGCCACAGGAATGGGGTGGGGAGGAAGGGGAGGTAGAGGCTTCGCACTCAGCCGCACTGCTCGCCTGTGTGTCACCCTCCTTACCGTCCACAGTGCTAACCGAGAACTCTTTCCCCTCTTGCCCATTGCCCTTCCGTGTCTGAAGCAAGAATGTGTCTGCCTGGTGGGGTTCTTCCATGAGCCAGGGTGGCCTTTGCTCTGTAGCCAGGTGACATGAAGGGTTTGTACCAAGCCAGTGCTTCTGGCTGCTGCCTGATGTAGGCAGCACCTCAGGGACAGTTAATCAGAAATGCTGGTCTTGAAATCTTAAAAAAATCAAACTGAACATTCCTTTTCACCATTCCTTGTCACTATTAATCTTAAATGGTTATTCTAACATTTCCTCCCCATATTTCATAAAGCTGATTTCCTCTCTCTTTCCTTTTCAGCAATACTGGAGTAACCGCTTCCTAAACCATTTTGCAGAAATATAAGGGTGTTCGGTTGCGTGCATGTGCGTTTTTAGCAACACATCTACCAGCCCTCTGCATGATTGATGTTGGGGGAAAAAGAAAAGTAGAAAAAAGTCCCCAACTCATTGTGTGTTATGTGGAGGAAACGTGTATTACCAACGGGTTTAGCTTTTAAATCAAAATAATAATTACAAATGTACAATTTAGCTTAATGAATCAGAAAGCCTCTCCAGCGAACTTTGGTTTCTTTGCTGCAAGAAGACTGAGGTTTTGAAACCTTATCTAAGAACTTAGAAGCCATCAGCCAAGTCTCCATATTTCTCTGTGCAAAATGTCATAGCTTATATAAATGTACAATATTCAATTGTAATGCATGCCTTCAGTTGTAAGTAGCTAGATTTCTCTATGGTGTCATTTAAACATGCTACTTTTTACTTGGCTCTGTACAGTTTGCTTATTTATAAATTTATTGAAAACACTGCAGGTGTTGAAAGGTTAAAACGTAGGCCTCCAGTTCATAACTTGTTATTTTTTTTGAGTGTGCAAACGGCTATTTTGCACTGTATTAAATGTAACTTATTTAATGAAATCAGAAGCAGTAGACAGATGTTGGTGCAATACGGATATTGTGATGCATTTATCTTAATAAAATGCTAAACGTCAATTTATCACAACGCATGTTTGACTTTAGACTGTAAATAGAGATCAGTTGTTTATTTCTGTGCTGGTATAGCAACAAGCATTGCACAGACATGGTTTCAGGTAAATAAATCTATTCTACGATAAGTTCACAGTGTGGTGCTGAGTGTTCTCATGCAGGAGGGGTGGGTGATATGCACTGAGGGCCTCCAGTCTTGCACCCTGAAGAGTTTTGGCTTCCACTGGGGGAAGGTCTTAGACTTGACTTTCTGGGTAGGAGAGCCAAGTGGTAGGAGGTCTGCTTGTATGACACGAGATCTGCAAAATGGTCTCCCTTCAAGTATGGGGAAAGCCGAATGTGAATGTCTTATTGTTGGGGTTTTCAAAGATAGTTGTCAGCAGCTTGGAGGATGTACCAATGGAGAGATGCTTCTAATACTGTTCAGATGGCAAATGTAAAATCCTACACTTCTGTGAACAGATCAACAGACGCTAGCGTTCACCCATTTGATGGTTACTTAGTGCTCCTCTACCAGGCACAGGGTTGGGGTGGGGTGTTTCTCTAATTTCCTAATTTCCCTAAGATGAGTTGTTGTTTTTTAAAGTGTTTTTTTGATAGAGAGCAAGCCGGGGAAGGGCAGAGAAAGGGAGAGAGAGAATGCCAAGCAGCCTCCGCACCAATGCCGCCGAGCCTGATACAGTGCCCGAACCACAAACCACGGATCATGACGAGCCAAAACCAAGAGTCAGATGCTTAACCACCCAGGTGCCCCCCCCGCCACCCCCGCAGAGGATTCTTATGTTGTGAAAAACAAAACAAAAACAGGCAAGGATAGATACTATAAACCTGGAAACATTTGATAAAATTTTTCATTTTTTACTTAACAGTATCCATAATTGCTGGAAAATAAACCACAAGTACTGACACGACCAGAATTATACTCACCATCTGCTATTGCTAACTAAGCACTGTCTGGACGGTCACTGTAATCCGGCAAGAGAAGGGACAATGCCTAGGAGTGAACAGAAAGCCCTGAGAGTCTTACTAGATCAATGATAGTATCTTGTTCATAGGAAAGTTTAATAACTCAGGGGGAATGAACATCTTGAGATAGATGATACATAATTCATGGGTTAGTGATAAATACTAGCACACATTTTAGTCAAACAGACTGATTCTAACAAACATGAAGGAAGAAAAAGAATAGCAAGGATGTGCACCAAACCCCTCAAACATTAAAGCTCCAGCCTTTGAATGCTCAATTTGGAAAGGTGGCATTTCAGCTTAGTAGGTTAAGGTTGGGTTATTCACTATGTCACTGGTCATCTTGAAAAACACACAGCTGTATCCCTTGTACTCAGTTGCAAATGGATCAAAAGATCTGAAAAATGAAACTATGCCCCCAAAAGAAAAATAGCTAAATGACATAAGAAGAAAACCTGAATGGCTTATAAATATGAGAAGATGTTCAGCCCCAATGGCGAAATCACAAGGAGCTAGCATTTCATGCCTGGCAGCTGACAAGGCGGCCGTCTTTACCCTGCAGAACAAATACCCCACAGTGAACTTAGGGATGTCCTCACCATCCAGCCCAGCAGGCCCACTCCCATGCCTACCTCAGAGAATCCCTCCCGTGTGCTGCAAGAGCCACACCAGCATGTTTGTAAAAGCACTGGAGACAACCTCAGTGACCAACAGGAAAACCAAGAAGTGCCTCTGAGACATGTTCACATCACTCAGCAGCAATGAAAATGAGTAAACTGGAACAGCAGATAGCGACAGAAATCTCCCTGCACAGTGGAAACCAAGTGTAGTGTATACAAAGTTCAAAATACGCACTTAGGTGCTACGTATGTGGGTGTACGGTATGCCTGTTTGCATGTCTGGGGTTTTTGAAGAAAACCACACAACGTACTCGGAGAGAACATGGAAGATGAGAAGGCTTTCCATGCATGACAATCCCAGGAGAAAAGGGAGAAACGGACCATGTATAAAGGTAAACATGTGGACCAAGATACACCTCTCTAGAGTTAGGAAAACAGATTTGCTGTGCCTACGACAAAGAGCAAATTCCCTTCACATGACTGGCAAAATTCAAAGGTTGACAGCTACTGGTCTCTCCCTTGCAGCTGGTATCAGGAAACCGTATTTGTGCATACGATGAGCATGTAAACTGGCTCAGTCTTTGGAGGAGGGCAACTTGACGAATGAGATTTTTAAACATCCATACCCTTGGATCAAGTACTCGCTTCAGTGAAATCCTGCCACGTGTTCACAGAAACAATGTAATCCTGCTGCAGGATTGTGTAGCAAGAAATTGGAAATAGCCTGGATGGCCATCAATAGGCAAAATGTTCAATAAGAACATTAGTACCATGGAATATTATGCAGCCTTCAAAAAACACGAGGTAGATCTGTGTGAATGAGCAAGCAAAGATGTCCAACAGATGTCTGCCAGTGAAACATGAAAGTACAGAACAGCTTGTATAATACTCTGTCATTCATTTTTTTAAAAAACAGGAGGAAGTTAACAGGTTCCAGTCATAATGGTTACTGAGAATAACTGCTAGTGATACAGATGGCGGATGGTGGGAACCAGTTTTCTCATGTTGGTTACAGATAAGCCAGGGGAGAGGGCTAGAATGATTCATGTGGTAATGAATTACACTTGGAGACACCAGTATAAGATCCTGTTTCACTTGATATTGATATAGATGATCCTATATAGAAATACTTCTAGTTATGTGTATATAAGCACATGTACCTCACACCATCAACTGAGAGGGCCGGGAAGCAAGGACACTGCAGCAGCAATGAGCATACTTAGCTTCAGTTTTCTGATATCATTTCTCCAATGAAAGGAATCAGGAATCAAATCTGCTTAGAAAAAAGATGGGAGTCTAGGGCCAGGGCAGAAAATGTACAACACACACCTGGAGAACACTGTAGTGTCAGGAAGTGCAGATGGGCTTAAAAAACAACAACACGTCAATGATCAAAGACGAGGTTGTGTCAAAGGGACAGAGGAACTAACTGAAAACGTTCTGCATGGCCAAAGCTAAAACAATTGCAGCAACAAAATAAAGTAGGACTAGATTATCATCCAAAGTATAAAATAAATATCCATCAGTCTCTAGAGACATAAGCAGGAGAGACTAGAAATCTCCCATGCAGAAGAAATCCAAGTAGCTTCTGCAGAGAACTCTGCCCTTAGGGAGGCGAACCATAACTCCAGTTCCTTAAGTGTGAGCTATGCACAGTGACCGCGTTCCCCGGAGTACATACAAGTGTGGACGAGGGAGAAGTTAACCCACAGTGGAGAAACCTAACAGACACTACCTCAGCCAAGTGATGTCATTCGAGAGCATGTGCTCTGGATGTGAAGTGAGGAGAATGGCATTTTACCTGTGGTCTTCCCCCCCACCCCACCCCCCAAAAAAACACATAACCTCAGTCTAATCAAAGAGAAAACACCTGACAGATCCCAAAGACAGACTGCAAAATACCTGACCTGTACTCCTTAAAATTGCTGAGATCATCAAAAACAAGGAAAATCTGAGAAACTATCATAGCCAAGAGGAGCCTAAGGACACAGGACAACTGAATAATACAGGATCCTGGATGAGATCCTGGAACAGAAAGAGGCAAAAACTAAAATCTGAATGAACTATGGATCTCAGTTAATAGTAACGTATAAATACTGGTTCATAATATGTAAGTACTGTGACAAATATCATGTAAAATGTTAGTAACAGGGGAAACTGGGTCTGGGTCATATAAGAACCCTCCGTACCATGTGCTCAATTTTTCCATATGTCTATAAATATTCTAAAATAAATAGTTTATTTTAAAAAGCTGAGATAAATATTTTTTTACTCTTTATAGGAGCATCAAAGAACTGCAAGAGAGTACAGAACTTCCGGGCCAAAATCTAAGCAGCAGCAAGGATAATCAGAATATCCAAGGTCTCTTTTCCCCTTGTGGCATCTACCTCTCCAAATAAGCTAAGCTGTGAAAACGAGCAGGGGTTTTGAGAGCTCGCAGAGTAGAAAAGGCAAAGTCAAAATCCAGGGCCCAGCAAAAGTGAGAAGTCTCATAGGACATTAAGCTGTGGCCCCAAAGGGCTAACACCTTAGGATAAAGGCAAACCAGATAATAAACCTGCCTTCCTTCCCCAAAACAAAGGGCTGCAGGCCCTGCCGTGGTACCAAGCAGAACCAGAAAAATACCCACCCCTAGAAGGGGGTGTAAACACTGGCTATGGAGGATCTGCAGCCTCAAGGCATGAATTTAAAGTCACAGGCAGTATCCCTGAGCCCCAGGCAGAAATAAGTGTAAATCCTCCCTAGAGGAATATGCACCTTGGTTTTATGTCTTGGAAGATCTACGCAACTATTTTACCAAGTGGCCTATAGTAAAAGCTCACCAAATACACAACAAGGTACCATGAGGGAGAAGCAGCAGGGAGAAACCCACACTAGAGACCGACCCAGACTTCACATATTAGAAATATTAGATATCAAAAAACACCCCCTGGTTTATTTTGTTTCAAAAGAATAAACCTACTCGAAAATCTGCAGGAGACAGGAAATTCTAAAGAAATGAACATACAGCAGATATGAAAATCAAATGGAATCCTAGAAATGAGAAGTACAATCACAGAAATTAAAAACTGCATGGATGGGTGTGGCATCAGAGTAGACACAGCAAAATAACAAATGAAGAGGAAGACAGATAAGAAGTTAACCAGGGGCACCTGGGTGTCTCAGTCTGCTAAACAACCAACTCTCGATTTCAGCCCAGGTCATCATCTCATGGTTTGTGAGTTTGAGCCTCAAATCAGGCTCTGCGTGACTGCATGCAGCCCACTTGGGATTCTCTTTCTCCCTCCCTCTCTCTCTGCCCCTCCCTAACTCACGCACACATGCAAGCCCTGTCTCTCCCTCTCTCTCTCTCTCTCCTCAAAATAAATGAATAAACTTAAAAAAGAAATTTTAATTAAAAAAAATGATTAACCAGAATGCAGCAGAGAAAAAGAAAAAAAGATAGAAAATATAGAAGAAAGATTAAAATACCTGGAAGATAGACTGAAAAGCTGACAAAGTCAAACATACATTTCATCATAGTTTCAAATGACAAAAGTATG